TTTATTCAAAAATAAAAACATCATCGCTTTCTCAAAATCACATAAAGCCATATTATAACATCGACTGAGATAAAGAATAAAATGAAATATTAAAAACACGATGTATCTCGCTGCATTGCGCGAGTACGCTTCTAGTATATATATACTTTAAGTTTTTCACAATATTAAAGGTTTTTATCTATATAAAGAGAAAGATAAAAAGCTTAAATATCAAAAGCTTAAAATCTAATTTTAAAGCTTTTATTGACACAAACGATATTGAGCAACCTCCACCACCTTCGACAATGTACATCAAAAGGGGACCCTCTTTATAAATTTCATCTCTTTTCAAATTGTACCGTAATTTCTTTTGTATCTAAAATTGATAATTTATGGATTATTATACTTTTTTTACTAATTCAATATTTTTATTGTAGAACTGGTTACAACTTACAAGTGACATCACATCAATTTTAACTTCAATTTGAAATAAAATTGACAATAAGATGAAATAGCTCTAATGGAGGAATTCATTACATGACAAGACTTTTCAACAAATTCACTTCATATGATTAAGGATAGTAATTAATCCTTGAGACCTAACCACCTAAACTTAAATCAATAAACAACAATTAATATGAGTTGAAAATTATTAATTAATTTTATTTACACATTAAAATTATTATGAATTATATCAATTTGTTATATTATTAATATTTTTAATTATTATTGAATTTGTTTAGTAAATATTCAATTTAACTATAATTATTTTTTTTTTTTTTGAAAAATTACTTACTAATATATGAATTATGTAACGGTTATTTAAAACCATCAATTAATGTAGATTTTTTTTTCTTAAAAACATACATAATAACTTTGGTCATATTACATGACGAGGCTTACTGAACTACCTTTGTTGTAACTCAGAAAGAAAAGGTCGTTCAAGCGTAATCCAAATACGAAACAAGAGCTCTTTACTGCTAAGCTGATCACAACTTCATATTCAACAACAGCAAGAAGACGATTCTAGCCCGTAAAAGCTTTAAACATTCACTTTTCTTTTATTTCATATTATATTATTTTAATTTTTTTACTATTATATATATTAACTATTATTTTAATTATATTATAATATATAATAATTAATTAATTTTTTAAAATATCTTTTTTTAATCATTTTATATATTTATCAATTAATTTATAAGCCGCTTGACAGCCAGCTTGCCGAAAACTGAATTTCAAAGGAAGATACGTTGGAGAGAGACGACCGTTGTTTTCGTTCAGAAAGAGGAGAAATACCAAAAACAATGAATAAAAAATAAATAATAAAGGAGGCAAAAAATGAATGGCAGTGGCGGTGGTGGTGATGGCGGTGGTGCCGGTGGTGGAGGGGATGACGTTCACACATCCTCTGCCTTGACCGGCTGGACCTACACCGTCTCCCAAAGATACCAATACCTTCTCGATAAGTCAACGCCATACGTCCTCCACCGTTGGGTCGGTTTCTGCGTTATCTTCTTCATTTACCTCCTCCGCGTTTTCTTCGTTCAAGGTTACTACGTCATAACCTACGGCCTTGGAATCTACATCCTTCAGCTCTTTATCTCTTTCCTTTCCCCTCAGGTTGATCCCGAGTATCAAGAGCTCTTTGATGATCCTGCCTTACCAACCCATGGATCTGAAGAATTCCGCCCTTTTGTTCGCCGCCTTCCCGAATTTAAGTTCTGGTGCGTACATTTTTTAACCTAATTGTAATCTTAATCATATATCCGTAGCCTATGTGTAATCAAGAGCCAGATCGATGCCTTTTTTTGCTTAGAATGCCTATGTTATTTGTAGGTCTTTTAACTAACATATGATTCTGTTAAATTGATACATATATTATCTTGTCTATTATTGCTTCCATAATTCTGTTCCTGGTTGACATTCTGCTCCTCCCCTTGAAACGCTGTCACTTTCATTTCATGATCCCACAATTAAGAAACCCTATTATAGGTTATAGTTCCTAACACAGAAAAGGCCAAATGTAGATTGCCATTGTGATTTATGATTCCTACCTGATCGAAATGTGATATTGAACTAAGTATTTAAAGAAGTAAATGATCTGTAATTGAAATGATATGTAAGCATGAGGCAAATTGGTGGCTTCAATCTGAGGAGACTCTAATAGTTGCTTCATCTATGTTCATGACATGAAATATTATGTACTAATTATAAATTTTCTCTTGGCAAAAATAAGGGTATACCGATCAAAACTCTTCAACAAAACTGAAGATAGGTATCAGTTGTTGGGAAAGATCTATGGGCAAATGTTTCAAGACATTTGAGGTGAGAACTAACCCAAGAAAACCAAAGCGAAAGGAGCAAACAACATTGAGATATTGAAATTACAACGTTAAGATAAGATATTACATAGCAAATCTTTAATCATGAATTCAATCTGACAATTCCCATGCACAATGTCCCATCCAGATATGAAGGACATGATGGAGTTGAGCTTAACAATTCTCACCATAGACAACCTTGCACTTTTTGCAAGAGGCTTATTTGATCAAAAAGGAATGATGCCAAGGATGTGAGGTTGAATTGAAGACAATTCTGAAAGCAAGGAGAAAACTGTTTCATGGCTACTAAGAAAAATGGGGATGATAAATATGTGCGGGAAAATGTCCACCACAGATAACCAACAAATGATCCCGAAGGTCCCAAATAACAACCGGAATCTAAATGTAAACAAATCCAATACAACAATGTGAAATGACAGGTCTGGCAATATGTGTTCAACAATTCATCCACAGTAAGCAATCCACAGCAATGTAAAGGCAAGAACAATCATAAATACACAATAATATCAGTGGCATGCAAAACGAGCACCCAAATTTATCGTGGTTCTACTATCGGTGTGATCATGCATGTCTACAAGAAGAGACAAATTGGTTTTATAACCAAATGGCATTTATAAGCAACTTACAAGATCAATGATCCAACAAATGATCAACAATGCTCCAAGGTGTCTGGAATTTGTAAATAAGGAAAGGAAACTAATTTTTTAAAGAGAAGGCCAATAAAAAATTGAGCTTTGAATTGTCCCTTATTGGCTCATTCCCGACCTAGGGTGGTGACCTAGCATCGCAAGCGCATGTTGCGTAGTTCCCAATATAGAAATTAGCAAGCCGGTGGGCAACCTACCCAGGTTGCGAGGTCCAAAATATGCGAGTCACAAATGATGTACCGAGGGTTTGAAAATAATTACAAACCATCGCCATGGAGCCACACGGCCTGCTCCAGTGTCATCGCATTGCAAGCCTAAGCCGCACTCTATGCTGCGACTGATCCATGATAGCTCCAGCTCATAAACACCCTGTGACTTGGCCATGTGACTTGTAGGTCGCATGCCAGGCCGTCGATGCAGGGGATTGTGAACTATCATATTTTAACAAAATATGCAACTGATTGATGGACTTTAAAAGTAAATTGTTGCATTTGGGACCAATTGAATGAGATGTGTCCCTTAGCGAGAAGACAATCAAGAACAAATACCTAAGCTGCAATTGGTAGCCCTGAACTGCTGCCCCAAAAAGTGCATACATGCGATAAAGTTTGGCTTGCAAATCTGAGGATGAGCAACTACAGGAAGTTAAATGGACCAAAGAAAAATGAACGGATAACACAACCAGCTATCATAGTCCCTTGAAAATCTACAACCAAGTGGATGGCGCCTAACCACCATTTCCATTATGGATCTCATCACAGGATATCCATGATATATAGTTCTCCCTCTTCTTATAACCATCTGGTCCCCCATCAACCGGACTTCATCCAATTTGCAGACATAGTGAGGAAGTTTTCCATTTTCATATCCTGGTGGTTGTCTCGTATATACATTTTCATTGAGAATAGCATATGGCAAAGCAGTTTGAACTCAACCTGTTTTATACTCCAACCATGTTAAATAGCTAAATACATTATAAGTTGGAACATAGCTGGTTTTACCAGAGTGCTTATGTGGTTTGCACAATCAATTTCATATCTTTGCTTGAACCCTTTTGCTACAAACCATACTTTATACCGATCAAATGTCCCATCAGGCTTCCTTTTGACATTGAAAGCCCATTCGCAGTCAAAGACATTCAATCCTCGTTGAGGGGGGATCAGATGCCAAGTCTAATTTTCTAACAAGGCATTGTGTTCGGTGTCCATAGCTTGTTTCCAGGTTGGTTGTTGAAGAGCAAAAGTATGAGATGAAGGCTAGGCATTCCTGGAATTTGGAGAATACATTGTTCCATCAGCAAATTTCTTTGGCTTGTGGATGCCTATCTGGAGCCTCTCATGCCGAGTTACCTACAGGGACAGATTCAGAGGGCACTAGAACTTGTTCGTCACTTTTTGTTGATCCTCATATTAGATAAGGCAGAATTATCTAGTGAATTTGCTTGAAAGGCATAGGTGGAAGTATTTTTTAGGTAGAGATATGGGACTGCTACTTAATTGAGAGGGCTACCCTACATTTCAGACTTCTCTGCAAAGGGAAAACAAGTTCATCAAAGATAACGTTGGCACATGAAGAGATTTATATCGCTTTCAGGTTGATAAGAATGGTCAAAAGGATGCCCAATTTTTCCACATACCTGACACACTGATCTGTCCTTGCATTCTCCCTTCCTATGTTGGTAGAATTAGTTTGGTTAGAATTCCCTCCTTCAGATTGGGCTCATTTCCCATGAGTTGTTTTTCCAGATCCTCGACCTCTTTCTATCGGTCCAAAGTTGCCTCGTTAGTTGTTATTGCGCTTGGTAACATTGACATTGATGGTAGGTCTTGTAGCATTAACATGAGAGGCTGTGTTATGGTGCTTCACACGTAGCTCACACCATAAGAGGTTAGCATACAAATCATTAAGAGTAATGTTGAATTTGGTGATGCTCAACAACAATGGGGATTGGTGATCTGAAGTCGCCAGCTGTGCTTGTATGGCCAGCTTTGCTTACGGCCACTTTAGGTGTCGGGAGAGGGGGGGGGGGGGTGCCCCCAGTAAAAAAAATTGAACGAAGGAATTTTTGATTTTTTTCAATCTCTCTCTCATGCTCCCACGCACAGTTAAAGATGGAGTTAGAGCTAGAAGAAAACATTCTGGCCTTCTTCAATGGAGGCTTTTATACCATGTAGAATTTGTATTTTGTCGCACGCTATACCCCATGTGTTCTCACCTTGTGATGAAATTAACAATATGCTACATTTTTTCTGTACTTGAGTTGTTATCCCTTTAACAACTTCAATCTGTAAACCATATATCTTTGTTGGTATTTGGTGAATTAAATCATTCTTTCATGCTTTCTCGTGGTTGCAAATCAGATGACAGAAATGTGGTGTTGACAGGTATTCGATTACAAAAGCAGTTTGCATTGCTTTTGTGTTGACATTTTTCAGTATGTTTGATGTGCCCGTATTTTGGCCAATTCTATTATTCTATTGGATTGTGCTGTTTGTTGCAACAATGAGGAGGCAGATAATGCATATGATCAAACATAGATATGTTCCCTTCTCCTTTGGCAAGCGGGTAACAACCTCCCTCCGCATTTTGCTCCATTCCCATATATAGTCTTTGTAAATTGTAATTGATTTGAGATGCATCCCGTCTGTTTGTAGCGTTATACAGGAAGGAAAGAAGAGGTGGTCGATGATTCAGCCCCTGTTAGACCTTGACTTCAACATTTCTTGCATACTAGAGGTACATTGATGCAATTAGTTCATTGGTTTATTTATTCAAATAAGACAGCATTCCCCTAGGAGGAAAGAAAACGTGGCAATATTTTCTCTTTTTCTACCCTAGAAACGACGGGGGGACAATATAGTCATTTTTTTTGTAGCGACTTTTCGTAAATGACAATGTATGGATTGTTGTAGCAAAGCCTAGTTGTTTATTTTTCAATTTCCATCTTTGAAATGGAATCCTGTTTTTTGGGGAATGAGGGTCAGCACTTGTTGGTAGGCATATAACTATGTGTTTGCCTTAGTATACAGGGAGGATTTTGTTGTTGAGCCTTTGAATCTTATTTGGAAATTTAGTTCTTCAAGTGCAAGCTGAATAATAGTTACATAGAAACTTCTGTAACAAGCCATGTTATGGGATTAAGAGCCTCGTGAAATATGTGGATATTTCAGAAAAAGACAACTTTATAAAAAGATGCTGATTCAATAAATAAATCCACTTTTAAGAGCAAGGAACTGAATCCAAAAGGTTGTTTTTCTTCCCTTTTTTTAAAATAAAAAAATAATAAATAATAAATAATAATTATTAGGAACTAGAAATGATCCTTAAATTAAGTAGTTGAAATAAAAGTTCAAATTCAAAAATACAGGAATGAATAATGCAGTATTTACAAATCAAGTATCCGATTAAACAAAAGTATCATCAGATCTTCTTCCTCTTCAAACGCTTGTCCTCTTCGCCTTTGTTGGTGTTGCCAGAATCCTCTGTATCGCCTTCATTTCCAGCGGGCTGTTCTTGCTCTGTTTCCATTATATATCATATCATCAAACATTATTAATCACACAAAAAAACATAATCCTCCTTCATCTGAAAAAACCTTAACTTCAAAAATAACATGAATGACAAGTTACCTTGGAGCAGGTACCACGGCGCACGTTGCATATCGGGTAATCATGGGGACAGCAACTGTAGTGATCTTCACAGCAAGAAGCACCCTCCAATGGACAGCAGCCCCATGCAAAACAATAACCATAGTATTCATAGACACAGCAGCAGGTAGTGCCTTCAGGGCAAGTGCTGTACTCATCACACACTGTTTCAGGTGTCACCGGTGATGGAGGAGATGGACCAGGGTTCGGTGGGTTCTGACCTGTCTTCACAGCATAAGATGCCTCCATTGCGATTCCACATTTGCCTACACTATCTTTGATGTTTCGTTCCATCTTCAAGAAACCCGACTCTCCCCATGCATCACCCCATGAATTCTTCACGATCCAATAATCTTTCCCATTTTCGCTGCCATAGCCAACAGCAAGCACACCATGGTCCAAAGCTGTGCCACATTGACCTGTGAAGATGCCCTGTATCGATTCAACCATATATTAGCTCGTAATCTTTAAGGGTTATTTCATATCCATGTTATGCATTTGCGATGATTCGTTACCGAAGTGTAGAATTGGAAATCCCTGCCACCGGCTTCAATGGCTACAGCAATAGGTTGGTTAGCAACAGCCTTTTGTAGTGCTGATTCGTCATTGACTGGAACATCTTCATAACCATCAATAGAAACGACCTTTGCGTTTTTCTGCATAAAGCAATTTATAAGAATCACAAGAGGTTCCGGTACTTGTGTGTATTCAGACAAGAAAAATATCAAGTACAAACCCTGTAAGTGTCGCATTTTCCATCTCTGCCCGTGTATGGATAATCTTCTTCGGTGTCGATGCCACCATTGTTGATGATGAACTCAAAAGCATAGTCCATGAGACCTCCATTGCAACCCTCATTGTAGGATGTATCACAATCCACAAGCTCTTGTTCGGAGACTGAGATCAAATCCCCCGTCACTATCTGGTTGATCCCTTCGACAGATCCCGTGGTTGAAAATGCCCAGCAACTTCCTGCAATGTAACAAACATAAATCCCATTAGATCTCACTACAAAACTTGAATGTTTTAGTAAACATTACAAGGAAATCAAATTGGTCTACACAAATCTTTATGAATTTGGCTTTAGGATTTGAAAATCCAAAAGGCTTCTCAAAGTAGATTGACATCAAACTCAAGCCATTTGTGACAAAAGACTAAAACCATGTTTGTTGATTGCCTAATGTGCCAGCTTCTTCAGTGTGGTAGTGGCTTAATGAAATAGAAAATAGTTCATTCATTAAGCTTCTTCTTATCTAAAGGTAAGCTTTCCAATACCCAGCTTCTATTTTTTTTTTATTAACCTAGATATCCAACCCGCTATAGGAGCCAACTAATCTCAAGACCACCACATATGATTTGGATTTGAACCTATGACTTCTTGGTACTTTTGATCTTTAGAGTCAAATTCAAACCAACCAGGTAACACCTTGTGGTTAAAACCATAACCCTCTATAAAATACAAATTAATCCATACAGTAAACTTTTATTTATACGGGAATTATCAGAAAACCAACCAAAAAAATCCCTAACAGCTCACCAATTGAATAATCAATCATTTATCATTTCATAAGAATTTTTTTTTTCTTATTTTTCTTGAAATTCTTGATCATCAAAATATGATAGTATAGTATGAGTGTCTGGGTAAGCACTATCATCAGCATTAAGTCAAGGCTTCAAAATAAGGTTTCTTAACACCTCTAATGACATAAAACAAGAGGCATAGAAACCCAATAAGCAAGAAACAGATTATGGTTTCCAATTACCAAAATACCCTTTCAGTGCTATAGGGTTATTTTGTAACTACTAGGTTAACTTGTTGGTTGTATAAGTCAATCATGATATGCTTTTTATCTCAATTCAATCAATTATTTTTATTTATTATTTTTTCTAAAATAAATAATAAGCAAAATATCCAAACAACTAACCGCAGCTTCCTTGATCTTTAACGCCGGTGATGGCACCTTTCTCCCTCCAATCGACGGATTCCGGCAACGCCTCACCTGACCGGAGCGCATACCGGTCGCTCTTAACCTTAGGCTGCTTCCTCTTAGCGTCGATCGTCTTAATACCTGTGTAGGTTGACCTGTACTCTTCGTTTGTCAGATCGGCAAACTTGTTGAGTCCAAGCTTATAGGTGTGGTCGCCGGAGTTATGGTCGTCGATGAACCGGAGGTTATCCTTAAAGATCTGAAACCTCCTGTCCTTCTCTCCTAGAGCGTTGTATGTTTTGCCGTGTTTGAGAAGCCATGATTCGTACATAGCATTGACTTCATCATCAGTTCGCCAGTTGGTGGTCATGTGGGTTGCATCGTAGCCGATGATGGACATATCCATGGCGGATGAGACGCTGAAAAGAGCAAAAAGCAAAAGGGCAGCCATGGAAAGGAGCTTCATGTTTGAGGAGAGAAGGAGAAGAAGAAGAATGGAGTGGAAGAGGTGGGGAGGGGGGTGATTGATTTATAAAGGGGAAAAAGGAGATGGGTATTGGAATATTTTAATTCAATTATATTTATAATTATAAATAATAGAATCATAATTATATACGTATTTGTGTAAACGTTATCTTCTCAGATGAAAGATTCCGGTATGCGGTAATTTTTATCCAAAAATTTCTTAATTATCAATAATTATTCTATAAATTAATGGTGTCGTAATTTTTATACTAGAAGGGTACTGGAATAATATAACAAAATATATTTTTATTTTTAATATTTCATTTTATTATTTATCTTTGTTGATATAATATGGTTTTTAATCGTTTTGAGAAATCGATAATGCATATCATAAAAATTTGGAAAAAATATATTATATCAATATTAGTATCAAATTTACTATTCAAAGTTCTGATTTTTTTTTTGTAATTTCTTTAATTTAATATTTTATTTATAATTTAATTTAGAATTAATAACGAAATAATTTATTTATCGTTTAATAATATAATTTTTATAAAGATAAATAATTAAGTATTTTGTTATAACTAATGATTATCTTAATTATATTTTAGATTTTTTATATTCAAAATGAGATGTCTATCCCGTATTTGATTATGTTTATCTGTAGTTAGTTACACAAATTCAAAATTCAATCTTTAATAAGTTGTACTTACGTACAATTTACTTATGATTTTTAATTTTAAGTAATATGCATCAATAAACAGTACTTTAGTCAAAGGCTTTATAATATAGTATAGATAATGCCTTTTTATTAATATATAATCTATTAAATTTTAAGTTTTTTTTTTAAACTAAAGATTTTAAAATATTTAAATATAAGATAA